AGTTGTGCTTGTACTGGTGGATCCTAGGAGCACCACAGCAAAACAAAGTCCTTCCCACTTATTCCTGTTCACCTAAGCTCAATCACATCAAATAGACAAACTAAGAGGGGTCCTCTAAACACGTCTCGATCTAAGAAGTGTTGCTAAGTAATCTTAGAGTGGCTCTAAGACATGCACTTCGGACCTGTCCAAGTAATCTACTTCATCCAAATGCCAAGCTTCTCTGTGGATGGAATGGGAGCTAGTGGGCAGGACTTATTTTCAGTGGCAGTCCCAGTGTCAGCAGGGAGACTGTATGATGCCTAAGTATCACCTTCTGCTTCCCTTTATTCACACTGAAGGGAAAAAAAAAAACATGCCTGGATACTCCAATAAATTCGTCAAATAACTATTCCCTACCCCATGATCATTAAAATTTATCCTGCAGAGAATGATAAACGATTCAGTTCAAAACTGTGCTGTTTCACAGTCCAACTAACATAGGTTTCTGAGCATTCCTAAATATTTCCCAACAATTTAATTCCATCTTTATTTGACGTGCCTTTTCCTTAAGATGCTACCTCCAAAAGTATCTTAATACCTTGTTCATAGCAAGTAAGATGATACAGATTATTTCAGCTATTAGAGCTGCTTCTTCAACTCAGAAATAGTGGACCAGCTAAGAGAATAATAATTGGTTCCTCAAAAATACTTTTTTTCCTCGTTCTGCTCTCCCTGAAGTCATTGACAAAACTACTGTCCCCCATTATGGTTAAGAGAAGGTTCCCTCCTGTTACTAGCATGATTCAGTGACACAACAAAACTATGCTTAAAGCCAATCTGCCCACTGATAAAAAATGGTGCTTTCCCAATGTCAGAAGACAGCCATAACCCAGCTGGTTCCCTCCCTCCAGCACTACTGATTTTACAATGCATGTAGGACCAAAACAAGGAAACTTCTTTAATTTTCATCAAATTTAAAAAAAGCACACTAAAATCAGATGGCCTGAAAGCTTTTTTTATCAATAACAGCTTCAAACTGAATGGGGGTGGGGGACACAAAATACCTCAGATCCTCAAAATCTGTACAATTTTTACTGAAACTGCACTCAAGTGTCTATTGTTTCAGCCAAGCAGGGTTGTAGGGGTTTATTTAAGAAGGGAGCTGTCCCAAGGGTATGCTCACATATACATTTGGAGCCATTTCAAATGGGAGGGGGATCTCTTCCTCCTAACCAGGCAGCAGCTGTTACCTCTTAACAGTGACATAGGTACAAGCAGGGAACAAGAAAAATGCAGCAAAACAGCTCCAGACTTAACACTGCTTCAGCCAGGGTTAAAGTTAGAGCTACATTTGCATTGCTCCCAGCTTCTCCACACATAACTGTTAGGACGTAACCGCTGCTGTGTGTTCCCAATCAGCAGGTCCCCCTTTTGAAACAGCTCCAAATACATACGTCCTTACCTCCTTACCTCCAGACAACATCCTCTGAGGCACAAAAAAGTGTCTCAAGTAGGGGTGCACAGATATGTTGGTTGGCTATCAGACTGGCACCGATAAAAAGAGAAATGACATTATCAGCTATCGACTTTTTTTTGGTCGCTGTAGGCGATAATTATGGTCACGTGCCCAGAGCACCCTGGCGAGCATAGCCCAGTCCCTGTGTCCCACTGCCAACCTGAGCCCATAGCAGACGACAGGTCCAGGCGAGCAGTGGAAGGGGGAGGGGGCATCAGGGAGTGGTCACAGGGCACCACACTCAGCAACAAAGGACCGTTACTGGCTCCTGCCATGGCAATGCCACGTGCACAGCAGGGGCCTGAGTGACAGGGCTGTGCAGGACTGACAGGGTTGCTGCAGAGACACTGAGCTCTGCACAAGCAGCGCAAGAAGCTGCACAAGGAACAATTCGCTCCGCCAGGCACCAGGTGCCTTTGCAAAAGTTGCTCCTCCCCAGCAGCCATGGGTGGCCCCAAAAAAGCCCAGGACCTCCTCGTTAACCTCCTAGCCTTGGCCAAGCTGGCTATTCATGTCACCAGGAAGGAGGTTCTGGCCAAGAGGGTCCCTGGGGACTGTGAGGCCGTTTTCCTGGGTTTCCTCTGGTCCTATCTCCAGGCAGAGCACCACTGGGCAGTAGCCACTGGCTCTCTAGCTGTATCTGAGAGTCAGTGGGCACTGTCCGGGGTGCTCTGCTCGGCGTCCCAAGGGTGCACTTAGTTTGATCCTCTGATCCACACACGTTCTGTTTTTTCATTTTTTGTCCCTCACATTCAGTTATGGCCTTCCGTCTATCACCACACTTAAGTGGTAACCTGTCGTAATTTAGTGGGGTATAGGCCCACGTAACGCAAGGTCAAAAATAGGCCAGCAGCCATGGGAGCTTAGCTGCATGGGGCCCACCAGTGCTGAGACAGCAGCATGCTCCAAGCATGCCCGGCATGGGTCCACCCCACCTGCAGCATGGACTGCGTGGAGAGCATAGCTGCAGGTAGGAGTCGTGGGTAAGGAAGAGTTATGTATGGGAATAAGACAATCACCACCTTCCTCATCGAGGGCCAAAGCAGGCAGGAGGCATATGTGTTTGTTATAAATGCAAAACAAATAGAAAAAAGGTCTATTTATGTCAGTAGTTTAAAATGCCTTGCACTACTACTAAATATCAGTTATAAGATCAGCATTGGCCGATGCAGTTGGTTAATCATTGGTTATTGGTATCTGCCAAGAAAATCTTTATCAGTGCACCCCTAGACCTGCACAGTGAACAGGCACACCAAAATGGATCTGACAGGAGAGCACCAAAAAGAGCCTGCTATCATGCTCTCATGATGCACTGAGACAAGCAATGCTCTGTGTAGTCTTGATTTGACACATGATGGCAGGACAGGTGCATGTGACCACATGAACATACTACTGGCCAAAGAGGACTACATCATGAGAGTCCCTCCACCTGCATGTAAGGCTCCATGGTAACGTCAGTGCAAAACAAAGCAGGTCAGTGCTACTTGAAAGCACATACACTGGCAAAAGCACTACAGACCTTGGGCAGGAGGTAATATGTCACAATATCCTACCAAAGAGGAAGACTCAAGAGTGGCACATGAGCGGTTGTCCATTAATGACCTGCAAGAATGTGTATGCTCTGTAAGTGCATGGGGCACCCCACTGCCTAGGTTGGGATTCACAAGCAGGGAACAACAGGTATGGGGAACTACACATCCACTGGGTGGAAGGCAAGCCTAGGGGTAATACTATAGGTTTGGACTTTAAACCTGTCCAAGCTGATTGTCAGTGGTCATTGTGGGCACCCATCATATCACACAATGTTGAATCACTGACCATGCCACTTGGGTTGGGTGGTCCCAAGACTGTCAGTTCCCAGTGGAAAGGGTGAATTTTGGTCTATCAGATGGAATGTGCAATATAACGAAAACATGTCACTCACATAAAGGGGGAGAAGACATTAAATTATACAAATGAGTAGTGATGTCCCTGTAAAAAATAGCAAAGCCCCATGATAAACTTCTTTTCTATTGCAATTTGATCTGTCTTCTGCCTGGTAAGCCACATCCTATGGAACAATGTTAATCATTCCAAACCTCAGTACTGCGTAAGCAACCACAAAAAAGAAAGTATAATCTGCCAAAATATGTTTTTCCTCCCACAAATGTGCCATTTCATACCCAAATTACACTGTTCTGCAGTGCACTGTCAGTAAAGTGTCTCCTGGTCTTGTGAAACATCTGAAGTTCAATAATCTATGAGCCATTCAAACTGGAATTTAAAACTACATACCACTGCAGGGGCTGAAATTTTTCCCTTTCCAATACTAAAAACCACTTGTTTTATGTATTAGTTACAATTTTTCATTACCTCTGAAATGCTTATGCTTGTATTCCTACAGGAAAGCAGTCAACTTTTAGAAATGGATGGTTGCACACAAGAAAATGCAAAACACCATAAAGCATTTCTAAAATATTTTTCCTATGCAATGTGTGACATCAACAAATAATTGCCCTGAAACATAGCATCAAAAGTTCCTAGAACCCCTATAGAATGACCATCTCGCTTATTCATGGCTCCATCGCTTGACAGTAATGTAGTCATCCTAAACTTTGCAAACTATAAGATTTAGTACACCTCAGGGACTTTATCATTATCATCAACATCATTATTTATGGTTGTTGTGATTCAATATTCATTTTATGATCTTACATTCACACAGGACTTTGAACACAGAAAAATACATGTCCCATGCTTCAAAGAGCTTACATTTTAACACGCATATTTGTCACAGCTGTGTTAAAATGCAATGGAATGAGAGCTATTCTGTGGCCTGGTCTGATTGACTGACGGAAGAACCAAAATAAGTTGCTTGGTTTTCTATCTCCCATCCCCTGATCTAGCTTGGGTTCCATCCCCCGCAGAAAGAAAGCACCTCATCTTGCTCAACACTCACCCACTACTAGGGAATGAGTGCCACTATTAAGAAGTGGTATTTATAGGCTCTGAAAACAACACCCTCAGCTAGAGGACCTGTGCCTGCAGTGAATGGCTCTATACGTGGGAAATTTTTCATTGTATCTTAGGAAGACCTCAAAAGTGAAACACTCCAGGGAAAGAAAAATGTCAACAACTTAAGTATGATCTATTTAACATAGTGAACTTTGTAGGCTAAACAGAACTAAACAACAACATATTTAGTACATATTTAATACATTTCAGACATTATTTAGCATGACACACAAAGTCCCAAACTACCTTAAAGTTCTTTTCCCCAAAATTAAATCTTCAAATACATGCAGATTTACCATCAAGCAGTGAACTCTGAAATTGCCTGAATGTTTAGACCAGTCTGCTTACAGTAGGCCCATCTTTAAGATCATGGACCTTAATGACAAGTGTTTAGCTCCCTTTCTGCATATAGTCTGCTTAGTGAGATAAATATTCTGTCTGTACATTTAGCATTACATGTAAGTTTAGTAAGCCATAATGTAAAAGAAAGCAACATACTCAAGTTTACCTGGTAGGGCAAATCAGCCATCCTTAAATAAGTTTCCATTTTCAAACAGAAAGGAGATAAACTGGGAACGCCATTATTGGGCCTTGAGAATTGATGCAGTATAATGGCATCTTTTGAATCAACCTCTTGCTCTTTCCTGGCAAAAACGAAACAGAATTTTAAAACAGGGCAAAAAACCCAGACTACATTATGTGCCATACATCAATATATTAAGTGCATGCTGAAAATGAATGGCTGAAACAAAGCATTCATCCTCTCCTAATGGGCTATTGTAATTTTTTATTCATCAAGTCCAAAGTCACTAAAAGCACTTACATTCCTGAGTCAGAATTCCAAGAGAAACCTTAGCTCATTCTATAGTGGAGCAATCTGAAAACCTGGCAAGAGTAAACTGATAAGACAAAATAAGTAAGCCTTATTCTCCCTTCCTTATGCCTAGTGACAAGTCAGTAAAACACTCATTCTGATGTGGTAATATTTTGTACCCATTCTGTGCAGCTGTAAATGACATTCAGCTAAGTTCCTTGAAAAAAGAAGAGATTCTCATAACTCCAGCTCTTTTATCCCCACTTACAGACTCACTGCCATTTTCTGTAACCTCATCATTACCCTTGGCCTAGTTCTGTCTTCTTCATATCTCCACCTGTTTTTACGGCATTCATCACTCTGCACTTCACTACCCAAATATACACTGATTTTACTCCACCCCTGCTGGAAGCTTCATCCCTTCTTTCCTTGACTCTCATCTCTAGGTTTTAGAGATCCTATTCTCCAAGCTCCTGCCTATTCACAATGATGCTCCATCCTCTCTCACAGATACAAAGCATGACTACATCACTCCTGATACTGACGAAATCCACTTGCTACTCATTCATTTTTGGATCCAGTTCAAAGGGTCTCTCTCCTTTTTTTAAACCCTTGTTCCAGCCTGGGCCAAATTCTGGTCTCAGTGAGCACGTCTACACGAAGGGTGGGCTATTATTTCAGGCAGAGAGCCGCTTACTGAGTTTTGGCAAGCCAGGCATAACAGGCAGCCAGGAGCAGATAAATATTGCCTAAATTTTTTTAGGGGCCCCACAAGCCAGATAGAATGGCCTGGTGGGCCGCATCAGGCCCACAGGCCACAAATTTTGCCCACCCCTGGTTTACAGTCATTAATGCACCATAGTTACTGTGCATTAAGTTTAGGACTTGCATAACCAAGCATTAAATCAATGCGCAGTAACTGACACTACTGTGAAGTAGCATCAGAGCACAGCTTTTTACAGACACTAACTGTGCAATAGCCTAATAGTACTGTGCAACAGCACATTAGCACAGGTTTTTCCCAGCACACTACTGTGCAGTATTATTAGGCTACTGTGAAGTTAGCGTCTTGTATGGATGCACCCAGTTATTTAGTAATACAGAGAATTATGGTAGATGTACACCAGTATAATTAAGGGCTGGACTTGGCCCAAAAGCCATGGGACACATTAAAATAAAATAAAAATTACATTGGTGTAAAACTGATGTTAGAAGAGAAAGAAGGCCTATGGATTCTTCGTTCCCGTTTACTCTGCCTGCCCTAACTCCACATGCATTTACCACTGTTGCTATTATAGCCTTTAAGTCAGAGGCTCCTAACACCTTAAGCAGCATTTTAGAATCTCTCACCTCAGCAGTCTCTTTTGAAATCTTATTCTAAAATGTAATTCTAGGCCTTCAAAAGTCTTTTACAGTATCCGCCCACAGTTATTGGAGATACTTCCATAGAAGCATACGGCTGCTGCACTACCACCGGCTTTAAGTGAGAGTGAGGAGCCCGCTTCCTACCGATTCTTTTGGAAACAGCCTCTTCTCTGACTCAAGCCCTGATTTCAATCCTTACTCACTATTTTGATGTCATATACAACTTACATCTGTAAAGCGTTTGGGACATGGCTTCCACAAAAGATACTGTACAAAATAAAGCCGTATACCATAGACAGCAGCCTAAGCACTTCTGCTTACCAATATAACAATGATTCTAACCCTCAGAAATTATACCTGAACCACCACAGACTGTATTTACAGCTTTGGGAGCGCTATTTTAGTGTGCTTTTCAAAATGAGCTACTAGCAATTGAAATTTGAGTGCCAAAGTGCCAAAAATGCCACTACTTCAATGGCCTGATTTTAGAGATCATTTACAGCACAACTTTCTCTACTGTAAATTGTAAAACACTCAACCATATATTCCATATTGCTAGGAGGCTGTATAAGAGGCACACAGGTATCAAACCTGCGAGCTAGAGCTTAGCATTTTTTCCAGAAATCTGAAATATACTTGTCATATGTCAATTGTAAGTCATTTCATTAAATATATCATCCTTGGGAGAGAAGCAAGAGATATCTAAATGCAAAGACTGAATTATAAAATCATCCCTACATTCAAGATATTTTTAATTATCATATTTTCTGAAGGCTAGAGGTATTTTCCAAGAGCTATGTTTATGTGGGTGTTTTACTGTAAGCTGAAAGAAAATAAGGCAATCAAATCTGTTTCCCTCCATGACGGTGGTTTTAAATTGTTATCAAAATCAGTATTATTTTTGTTTACCTTATCTTATGCCCATTAATACAAGCCCAGTGTCCACCTTTATTTTTCCATAATGGGTCCAGGAATATTTCCTGTATTTTCCTAATCTTTATATTATACAAGCAGTTCTCTGATAAAGCAATTATGGTACTGGTGATTTACTACCATAAATTACTGCCCTATTATGCAGTAAAATGGCTCAGTAAAAAGTGAGGCTTAGGGCCAATAATGGTTTGAAGTTGAACCAGTGTTGCCTTTTCCACAAAATGTCAGTCTCCTCTGTACACCTATGGTAGCTGAGATGGGTTTAAACACATAAAGCCATTTGCTAAAAACACATCACCTCCTATGCTTCCAGGTCCATCTGTGGGAAATCAGTAGTTAAAGCCACCATTTTCCCAGCCGACTGTATTATTTGTGTAAACAAACTGCAGAGCCACACGCAACTATTTACTTCTGATCCAAGCCTATGACAAACCCACCCATGTCTTTTTTTCTTTGGCGTTCAGGCTCCCTAATTACTCATGGAATTATAGATTTTCAGCTGCAGAGAGCAAGCATCACCCAACACAATCCTATCCCCAACCATGGATGCTTTTTGCTTTCAAGAGGCTGCACCTGGCAGGTTGATGCTGCACCACTCACAAGAGTCGTACTGTCATTTGTTTTTTGGGCTGGCCACTAAGGCCTGAACAGGAGGCTGTTTGCTGCTTGTCTGCTAGGCAAAATTACCTTATTGAAACACACAAGGGATGAGGAGGCTTCTAAGCATGAGAGTTTATTCCAGTATGCCCTGGCACAGTAGCTAACCATGCCAGAGGAAGGAGAATATTTGATGAATCATAGCTCCCTCCTGTCTTCTTGCTTTAATCCCCCGACCCTGTCCAGCAAAGTCAGGCCAACCCAGGTAGCTGCTTACAGCTACCACTGGGCTGAGGCCCTGTCTGCAGAGGGGCTGGGTGTTGAGCTGCCTAGGGCATGGGGGTTTGCCTTCCCAGCGGGCTTCAGCTTGCCCGCATCTCCCTTGGAACCGGGCACAGGCGTGGGTGAACCAGGCAGCTGCCCAGGGCCCAGAGAGAAAGGAGGCCTGAAAATGGTGAAAACAATGATGATTATTATGATCAAGATCTCTGGCGAAGTGGGGCCTGATACTAAAAGTTTGCCTGGGGTCACCTGGAGTCTAGGTACAGTGCTGATCTCCCTTACTGGGAGTTTCCATCTGGTCCCACTTTCAGGACACTGGCTTAGAGGAAAACCCCT